CTCATCACGCTCCTCGTTTGACCAAACTGCATATTCTTTGGTCATTGTCTTTGTTTCCTCGGCATACTGTTGTTTGTCCGATTGTACAATGGCATGAAGCTGATGGGTGAGCAAATGACGCTTGTACATTACCACCTTGAGTGCTGTTATATAGTCAATGATATCAGCGATTGGAAACTGAAAGAAGTACAGTTTTGAAAAAAAAAAAAAAATTATTGTGTTATCTTCAGATATTGCGATATTGTGTTCAATTCGGGTGATATGATTGAGCGAGCAAGCACCGGTCGCATGATGAATGTGTGCAAGGCAGAAAGGACCAGTGAGAGGCTGACATTGCATCAATATTGCATGTAGTGCACCGACATTGCACGAGGGTTGCCAGGAAAGGATGAAGCAGTAGCCACAGCGCAGTCAGGAACCATAGTGTTTGTATCAAATATTTTTTGTTTGTATCGACTAGTGTGTGAAGACTATGAGGAGCCTTTTATCATTGAGTGTGTTTTTTAGTTTGAACAAAGTTTTGTTGGTTTACCAGCCCAGCAGTGAGAAAAGATCTAATTTTATTTATTTCATGCAGTTCTTTCGGGAGGAACTTGAAAAAACAGTCCCAGCAGAAGAAACGAATTTCAGGGCTGTTAACAGTTGATTGCCACTGATAAGAGACAGTAGAAGATGCTAAATGCACAGATGAGTCAGGCCTTCGCAAACTGGTTTGCAAATGCATATGGAGCGGGAGAGTAACAAACCCCTCGTCATCACATTCCTACTTGACGTGCTATACCACTGCAGCACTGAATCTCATGCTCTCTGTAGTAACTCGAACATTATTTTTGTGTTTGTGCGTCTCACATGATTTCCAACGATGTTTAACGTCGTTCTACAAACAACGCTTGTTTTCAATTCTGGCCGGCTTCTCGCCGATATCCACAGCACAAGCTATAAATTAAACTCATCTAGCCATTCCAAATATTCTTAGAAAAGGGACTTTGTTACTTTGCTGTTAACGACTGCACTACTATTTCAGCAATAATACTAACCGGGATGCCAATTTGTTCCGCTTCAAGATCCTCCTGAATGCGCATTTCAATACCGGATATGCGCTGCTCAAGTTGCTTTAATCCCGTTTCAATTTCCCCAATTCGTATCTCATCATCGACTGTTGCCAAATCAGTTGTCGATGCTGATCTTTCTAAAGTAAAGGTTACTCGAACTTCCAATGTAAAGCGTCGAAACACGACTTCAA